CCTTGCTCCAGCACCAGTGAATGTGGCTGCCTTCCGGGGTCTGCTGGGACCAGGTGGCTTCAACAGGCTCTACCAAATGTCCTTCCAGCAGTGGAACCACTTTTCCCTGTGTGGCCAAAGAACCTCCTGGATCCCACTCTGTTCCTGGGGATTCACCTTTTCCACCAGAGCACCGCCAGGTATCGAGCTGCAGAGTTGCAGACTTTGCACTCCCCTTGTTTACAGTCTTAATGGAATTTAAAACCTCTCCTTTCTCCTTTCTCCCTTTTTAGTTTAGTCCCTGTGGCTGTTTCCAATTTTCCACTTTCTCTCCAGCTGCTTTTGGGGAGGAGTGCTTTTCCCATATGCTCCCCACCTCCCCAGTGTCTGTCCTCTCTCTGCCTGCAAAAGGGGTTCCCTACCTTTCACGGCTTCTTGCTCCCCAAGTTCAACTCTTTGTGTCGCATACCTGCTGAATTCTGTGGTTCAGGTTGTGCAGATTGTTGTGTTAATCTTCCAATCAGTTTTCTAGGTGTGTAGGATGTTTTAGTGTTGGTCTGACTGTATTTCATGGAGGCCAGACACACACAAAAAGCTTCCATGCTGTTCCGCCATCTTGGCTCCTCCCCCTATTATTTTGAATTTTTAAATTCAAATTCAGCATACATTTATTGAGTACTCACTCTGTAAAAGACGATGTGCTAGGCCCTTTGGAAAATATAAAAATAGTTGAGACTGGACATCTGCCCTCATGGATCTCATACTTCAGTGGTGGGGACACATGTACCCAAATATGTGTAAAGCCAAGGGTCTTAAAAATCCACAAAGTACTATAAAAAAAAGTACTATGGTGGGGCAATGTCTAGTTCAGAACATGACCTATGGTAACGTTTCACAGATGCAGTAGCATTGAAGAGACAGCGGTCTTTCTAAAGGCAGGGAGAGGTAAACGTCTTCATCACAGGAAGAACAGCACAAGCCAGGCAGAAAATGCAGCCATGAAGGATGAGGAGAAATTTCAAATTTCTGGAAAAGCTGGATAGTGGCAATGTACATAGGAATAAGAGGAGTCAAGTCAGTGGAAGATCAGATTCAAAAGGTACGGTGGAACTATCTTAATCTGGTATCCATACATTTAAAAAATGCAGTAATAAATTCAATCTCCTTGTAAAGAACAATGCTGACTGTGAGAAGTTAACTAAAGATCTGGAGTGACTGGGAGAACATGGATGGTGTCTCCCGAAAGCTTGACAACAGCATGAAGATGGACGCTCTGTGGTCCTCCAGGTGCGTGCGTGCGCACTGCCTGTGTATCTGCTGGTTTCTGCTGGCCAAAGAGAGCCCTTGCCTAAGAACAGCTGCACTTGGCAAGTCTCGAGTCTGTTTCACCATCCTGCAGAGGTAGGAGTTGGATAGTTTATGCGCTATGACTTCACAGTCCTCTGGGGAGGCTGCCAAAGAAAGCATGTTTTGGATAGGAATCTGAAAAAAAGTAAAAAAATAAAATAAAATAAAAATAAAAATTTGAAATACCCAAGGCGAGTTTGGCTTAGAGATAAGGTTTCACATCCAGCTCCTCCCTAGGCTTCGCCATTTAATCATCCTCCAGGACACGGGGGCTGCCATGGATAGTGATTAGGACTCCTTGGGCTGCATCAGCAAACACCCTCCTTTGATAGGCAGTTGGAAGGTAATGGGACTTGGGTTTTAGTTGCAAGGGAATGGTGGAAAATGTTACAAAAAGCCGACCTCCTTTGCCCCCATTGAAATGGCTGCCTTTCTCTGCACATTTTATGTTGCTTCGGAGAGAATTACAAAAGACAGATGCTTCTTGCTGGAATGTTAGTTGTTTCATCTTTCTTTCTAGTCCCAAGACATTTACTGTAGTTTCTTGGAGCAGACATCTTGAGCCACGCCTTCATTTTCAAATGTCTTGTAAATGGTGTTGTGTTGGGATTTTCCATAATATGGAATACGGGAAAGTCCGTGAGAGAGCATTTTGGGTGTTTTTGTTGTTGTTGTTGTTTTGCTTTTAAGGTATTATGTCGTAGATGGTGTCCTCAGGCCAAAAGCCTCAAATTGGGAGTGCATAAACTGTAAATAAACTGTAAGCTGCTGTCGTCAGACATGAAATACATAACCTGGTCTGGCCTCTAGGGCTTCAGCCAGGTGTACAGAGATGCTTATGTCCATTTCAATGATCGCTAGCAATACACAAAATAATCTTCACAATTGCATGATCTATTTTCACACTAACCATAAAGGAGAACTGCTTTGTCTTCAGGGTCTGAGGTCCCTATGGAGCCTCAGAAAGCAGCAGAGTAGACAACATGCCCTTCAGAAACATAGTAAAACTTGTGTGTTAGCTACAAACCACCCTGCTCAATAGGTCTGTTGCTCTCTCTTTGCATAAAGATAACGTGTTTCATAAAGGTAATGAGATACAAGAGAAACTAGCAAGGGGGCAAGCTCAGTTGGTTAAGTGTCCAACTTCAGCTCAGGTCATGATCTCATGGTTCATGGGTTCGAGCCCCATGTTGGGTTCTGTGTTGACAGCTTAGAGCTAGGAGCCTGCTTTGGACTCTGTGTCTCCCTCTCTCTCTGTCCCTCCACCATTTGTGCTCTGGTCTCTCTGTCTCAAAAATAAAATAAAAACATTTTTAAAAATTATTAAAAATTATAAAAAAAGAAACTAACAAGATGTGATGTACTCAAGCATTTTCATCATGTTAAGGCACAAGAGTAAATAATTAATGTCATAAATAACCTCATTTTCCCAGGAGGATCACATTCTTATTAACAGGCAAATCACAACAGCAATTTGGAAAGCGATTCATTTCTCTGCTCCTAAAGAATCTTAACATTTGGTGGGCCTTCACAAATCTTTTTGTTTTAGTGTATCTTGTTTAAATTAATTTCTTCTGATTTGGAGACTGTGTACATTTTTTTCTCGCCCTCTTGTTAAATTTTCAAATTGTCTTGATTAGTCCCATGGCCTCCCCACTACCTGTGCAGAGATGATCACTTCCCCCCTCTCTAGTGATTGCCATACTCTACGGAGCTCTCTCCTCAATGTATGGGAACTTCAAGGTAGAGGACATAACTGGAAAAGGAAATCTATATCTGTGGATGTCTGTGTGTGGGGTTTTTGTATTTTAGGTAGGAGAGATGTTTTAGGGCAGAACACACTGTGAACTTTTTTTTTTTTTAACATTTCTATGTGTGTATAAAAGACATTTGAAAACAGGGATGAATAACAAGGCTTTGTGTTTCTATAGCATGTTCCCCAAGGACGTTCATAAATTTATAAAGACTATCCTCAAAACCCTCTCTTCAGCTGGGTTAAGAGCAAGAATTATTTCCTTATTTAATTAGAGGAAACCAAAATAAGGAGAAGTAGCTCAACTTTGCAGGCTTTACCCTGCTTAGAAGCTGAGTCCCGCCCTTTGGAGATGAGTGACATCATCCCGCCAACCCACTGCCTCTCTAGGCTGAGCTCCCCTGCCTCTCTTTGGTTCTCTACTGTGTATAAGCCAATGTTCTTGGCTCCTTATTTGATCTTAAAATCAGTGTTGGGTGAATCAGTCAGAAGATTTGGACATTCTGTTCAGAAAATGTTATAAATTCATCAAGATTTGCTTGATCTGCAAAACGCTCCTGGCATTCTCAATAGAATAGCATTCTTGTGTCCCCAGATGACTTTCTGATATGTAGGACTTGTATGGGATGATACAGTCTCCCCATTGCCCTGAGACATGCTCTGTCACAGCCCCCTGCCTTCATCCATGTTGTCTTCTCTCCTACCATGACTTTCTTCTCTGCCCTTGTCCACCTACAGCATTCCTGTGCATCTTTTAGAACTCAGCTTGACTGTTACCATCTTCTTCACTAAGGCTTTCCAGGCATTCTCCAGTTCTGCTTCCTTACTAAAGTTCCAGGTTTTGTTCAGGTCTCTATTCATTCCTCTCTGACTAAAATATGTGCCACGTGAAAGGTGCTGACTTTAGCCCAGTTGCACAAAAGACCTAATCATCATAAGCATGATCTCAGTCTCTTTGCCAGAGATTGGATAAAGAATTGTCCTGTGGTCTTGGCCAATCAGACAAGAGAGGAAACAAGTGGGGGTGGGGCCTGGGGAAGGCTGTTCATCCTCATGAGTAAGATGGGATTTGAGGAAGAGGAGGTCAGCCCTCTTCCTCTGGACATGATGTATGGTCTTGGGGTGGCTGCCATCTTCTCACTTCCAGCCTGAGGATGAAGCAAACACTGATGATGGCAGAGCACAGATGAGCATAAAATCTAGGCCTTTCAAGATTTCATACAACTATTGAAACAACTAGGCTTGAAGTTGGTTCTACTCCTGGATGCCTTCTTCTATAAAATAATAAAGGTCTTTTTTGATTAAGTCAGAATACTGCTTTCTGTTTATTGCAGCTGAAAGCCTCCTAATTCACCCAATGCTTTTCCTGACCTACAGCCCACACATTCAGTCAGAATTGAGTATTCCTTCCTTTGATTGCCATGGCACTGGGTACATACCTCTATTACAGCATCAGTACTGGACTTTAATGATCTGCCTTTCCTTGCTGGCTTCTTGTCATCTCTCACTTTAAATTTTAAATCCCAGACCAGTTTCTTGGTCACCCTTGGTTTCTCATCACCAGTCCTGCCAACTGCTGCCTTCTACATACTATTTTCCCCAGGATGTGGGTAGAGTTCCTTCTTCCTTCACTTCTAAATCACCATTAATCACATAAAGGCTGTTGTTTATAACAGACTTTAAATGTTAACAGAGAGGCATCCTTCATTCTAAAATTCTTTATCTACCTTATCATGGAAAATTTATGACCAACCAACTCTCTTTTTGTATCTAAGACCTAGTCTACTTCTTCATTTACCTGATTCCTCAAGGGCCTCTCCAAATTCCAATCACTAGAGCCCCAAAACACTTTTAAAAAAATTATGCTGATCATTTTAGTTCCCATTATTTTGGTATCCCCAATGCATTCCACAAGCTGAGCTTTACCTTTCCTTCTCAAACTGTTGGTGTATTTCCCTAAACAAGATTTTCTCTGAACAAAAAAACCACAATTTCCTCTTCTGCCTCTTGCTTCCAGATTATAGAAAGGACTGAAGTGCGATTTAAACAAGCAATTTTAGGGGCACCTGGGTGGCGCAGTCGGTTAAGCGTCCGACTTCAGCCAGGTCATGATCTCACGGTCCGTGAGTTCAAGCCCCGCGTCGGGCTGTGGGCTGATGGCTCGGAGCCTGTTTCCGATTCTGTGTCTCCCTCTCTCTCTGCCCCTCCCCCGTTCATGTTCTGTCTCTCTCTGTCCCAAAAATAAAATAAACGTTGAAAAAAAAAATTTTAAACAAGCAATTTTAAAAATTTTATCCATTGTGCTTGTATTCTCAAAGTGCAGATGTGATAGATATCCTTGGCATGTGGTGACACTCAATTTTTAATAGTAGCATCCAGTCCTTCCTTGAAGATAGCAATTAATCTCATGAGTATTTCATGTGTTATTTCACTTTTTCATTTTGTCATCTTTTTTAATACTCCCATAAATTCCCTCTTGAACCCCAACTCTCACTCCAAATAAAACAAAGTGTAAAGTCCACATTATGGGTGCTCTCATCAGCAAGCAAATCAAGTTCACACTCCAGCTGGCTTCTTAGTGACACCCAACAGTTACTTAACTCTGAGTGCCTTAGTTTCCTGTTTTGTAAAACAAGGAAGTCAGCCTACTTATCTGTAGCTTCCTTCCAGCTTTAGAATACCACATAGGCCTCTAAAAAGTCATGGGAGATGAGACATGGGGTTGGACACAAGAAGTAGAAAAGGCCAGCTAATTTTATTTGTAGTCCCAGCCATCTGCTGCTATTAACGCTAACAAGCAGCTGTTTGCTCTTTAGTGATCAAGGCTCAAGACCCCACTTAAGAAATAAGTAAGTACTAATCTTGGTTTAACCACCAAGAGATTCTCTCATGTCCTTTTTCCTGAAATAAGATTGTTAATATCCACCCTTATCTCATTTAATTAAAAAAAAATGTTTCTACTAAAATTAAGTGGCAAGAGTAGTGCAATTCAAGTTTTAGAACCCCAAAATCTTTTTCTCCTTAATTTTAACAATTTTTCCTTCCTTCCTTCTGTAATTGTCCCCAAATTACCCAAGTAGACGTAAAGAATTCGTAAATGGACAGGCAGTTGTCTGGAAAAATTAAAGAAAGGATTACTGTCTGAATTTAGATTTTAGCTTGCTTCAAAATGTTAAAAGAATTAAGTTGAAGCACCATCTAGTGGCTCTCCACTGTGTTTTGCTAAAGGTTGCTCCCAATTTCCCTCAATTTCAGATGACACTTAATTTATTGGGCATGTATATGCATATATGTGCTTAGAAAAGAAAAAAAAAATGTTTTTTATCTTTATGCCAGGGTGGATAAAGAGGTTGAGACAGTAGCTATAGCTTTTCACTCTTCCAGTCTGATATCGCATAGAAAACCATGGCAGTGAAGAAGCGTGAATTCAGATAAATCCCTTCCATGAATAATGGAGTCTTTTCATTTCAATAATGGCAGGAAAGGGATTAACACAATAAAGCCCCATAGATTTCAGTTCCTCTGTTTCTCCTGATCACATCTCTCTGAGTCCAAGACAGTGTCTTTATCTTCCCAATCCTGTAATGCAGACATGTCCTCACATGTCTAGGGATGGGCTGACTATTAGATGATCTTTGCACATCTCCAGATTCCCAAGCCCTTTCCTATCAAACACCCATAACATCCTTCAGGTTTACATAACCAACAATTCTTCTGGAACTGTTATAGAGATGGCTCTCATACCTATCATTACTATCTTCTGAAGTTACATCTGTTGCATAATCTCTACGGGAAGAATGAAAATAGGCCATGAAAAATGTGCGTGAATAGAGTATAACCTATTGCAAGACTGACCACAAACCTTGAAATTGGCAAATTAGGTATTTGCATTAACCAGGATTAAGTTCAACTGTGTATGGAGTAAAACTCAAAATAATAGTGGCATGAACAAAATAGTATATTTTCTCTCACACAAAAGAATTTTATAGTAGGTAGTCTAGGGTTGATAGGCAACTCCATGGTCATTAGGGCCCAGGATCTTTCTGTCTTTCTTTTCCACTCTCTTAGTGAGTGGCTTCCATCCTCAATGTCATCCATCCAATGTCAAGGCCCAAGTTGGCTGCTGGGCCTCCCATCATTATATCAGTGGTGTAGTCCAGGAGATAAGGGGGAAGAACAAAAGAGGATCTCTTCTTTCTTTCTAAAGAGCTTTCCAAAAAATATCACACAAGATTTATGTTTACACCTCATTTGTGAAAATTTTAATGGGTAGTCATACACAGTTGCAAGGGAAACTGAAAAATGTCTTTTATTTAAGTGTGTCTCCATACTAAATAAAATTGGAGTTATGTTATTAAACAATGTACCAGCGAAACCACAATAATATCACAATAATGCTGTGCAACAATCACAAAACCTCTGTGACAACAATTGCTTAAATGTCTAGGATTATCTGAGGGTCAGGTAGGCAGCTCTTCTGATTTTGAATGAGCTTCTCCCTTGCCTAAGAGATGATTAAATATCGGATTACCTAGACTGGCCTCAATCGAGGTGGGGAATGGGACTAGCATGAACCAGCTCTGCTCTACATGTTTCTCATACTCCAGCAGATTACCCCAGGCATGTTCTTATGGACTAGCAATAGAAACACACAGAACCTCTTGAGACCTAGGCTCAACACCAGTACACTGACATTTCTGCCCTGATTTGATTGGCTTAAAGCAAATGATATGGGTTAGGGAAACATGCACTTTATGTTTCCAACTTTAAAGTCACTGACAAATTACATGGCTAGAGGGAGGGGCAAAGATTAAAAATCATGAATACAATCTGCCCCAAAGAGAAAGGGAAGATGAGTATTGGATTAGGCAACTAGCAGTCTGTGCCACAGTGTTTTTGAGTCTGTGAAAGATTTATGGTACTAGACTTTTCCCCATTCTATGTCCTGTTGTAAATATGAGGGAATTATAATAAAAGCAAAGAGAGAAAAGAGCTAATATATGTTGTACGTGAAATTATTTACTTATCTATTTCTTGGCTCATGTTCGGTTACTAATAGAGTAGGTATTAATCTTAGCACTCATCCTATCCTCCACGGTAGACAGAGACTGGCCAAATGTACCCAAAACCTGACTTTATTTCTGCCAAGGCTACTATGCTACATTTATCAACTTAGAAATTAGGGTGGCCACGTGACAAGTACTAGCCAATAGAATGTGAGCAGAAGTCATTACTACTCCAGGCCTGGTTCATAAAAACCTCCCACATGAATCCCCCATTCTCTCTCTCTTTCCCATTCACTGGATGAATGGAGGGTACTCTGACAAGGGCAGAACCATAGGATAAAATGTTAGCTTAGAGCAGAACCACTCCTGTTCCCTGCCCTAGAGTCACCAACCTGCCCCGGGATATTAAGTGAGTGAGAATTAAACCTTTGTGGTATGAATACACTGAGATTGGGAGGTTGTTTGTTTCAACAATCAGACTATCCTACTCATATATTATCTTCCAGATAGTAGTATGCATTCATTTTCTCTCTTCAAGCCTTGCTAAAAATAAAAGTAATAGCCTGAATCACCTGCCACCTTACAAAAGAAATTCTTCTATTAAATGAAAGGACACTTTTTACTATAAGATTACCATATATATCAGTGAAGATAGGGTTCCTGTTTACAGTGGCCCTAGCATAGGTTGGGGTTTCCCCAAGAACCCTTATTCTTCCACCATTAATCCATTCCAACCTGGATTGCTGACAAGAGAGAGAATTGAGACAGTGGAGCTCCAAAAGGTGAGGTGATATTCAGCACTGTCTCCAGTGACTCTAACAACTCCTTATTTGGAATCAACTTATAATTTCTTCAAAAATAAAGGCGGTGCTAAAAATGACTCCTGGCCATTTATTCAATGATCAAGCCAAACATGCAATACATCTGTCCCACTACTTACTAGCAAGCAAGAAAAGGATGAGAGGTCAGCTACCGGTCGACTTGAAGGCAATGTTTGTAGTGGCTCCTGACATTGCAAAATTAGCATATTAAGAGGGCAGAGGAAAGGGGAAGCTAGGATGAAAGCACTAGCCAAAGAACGCAAGGGGTGTAGAAAAACAGCCCTGCATTGTTATTTGCCTTTTGCTGACTCATCTTCCTCTTAGGCTGAGAAGCAGGGCTGTTTCTTGTTTGCAAGTAAGGACTCAGTAGGGCAAAGGGGAAAGTAGATTAGTCATCCTAGGCATTTGTGATGGCAGGCAGCAAGCTTTCACATGTGTGTAAATACACATATGCTAAGAGTTTGAAACAGAATTTGCCAACTATCACATGGATTCTCATAAACACAAAGATATCAAATAGTGACAAGAGTGGTTGAGTTTGACGTTGAAACCTAAGACTGATCATAACTGGCTGCTTTTTTGTGATGTCTCATCAAATCTAAATGACTTCCAGATTCTTCAATTTTCATGCTCTATGAAAGGAAAAAAACCATAAAATATATAATTAAGCATGGGGGCCTGGATGGCTCAGTCAGTTAAGCCTCTGACTCTTGATTTCGGCTCAGATCACAATCTCACATTTTGTGAGTTCAAGCCCTGCATTGGGCTCTGCGCTGACAGTGCAGAGCCTGCTTGAGATTCTCTCTCCTTCAATCTGACCCTCTCACACATGCTCTCTCTCTCTCTCAAAATAAATACATAACCTTAAATAGAAAGTAAACATAGGGTCTGGGTGCCTGGGTGGCTCAGTCGGTTAAGTGTTCAACTTCAGCTCAGGTCATGATCTCGTGGTTCATGAGTTTGAGCCCTGCATCGGGACCTGTGCTGACAACTCAGAGCCTGGAATCTGTTTCCGATTCTCTCTCTCTTTCTCTCTCTCTCTCTCTGTCACTCTTTTGCTCACACTCTGTCTCTCTCTCTCAAAAATAAATAAACATTAAAAAAATTTTTTAAGTAAAAATAAAATAAAAATATATAATTAAGTAGAAATGAATACAAGGCTTCAGAGGCATAGAAATGAAAGAGTAAACACTTAAGAAACTCCAGTTGAACTTTATTTCCCTCCCAGAGAATTCTTGAAGGGTGGCCTGGGTCAGGTTATCTCTCAGTAGGCAGTGTAATGAATCAGAAGATTTTGTCCAGGGTTGCAGGCATCTCTTCCTGGGCTCTCAGGTGTTAATAAAGCTTGTACATCAAAGAAGGGGCTAAAGGAACAGACAGTATGCCAAAAAATATGTCCAGCTTTTCCCAGAACATTGTAGACTCAAAGTCTTACAATGATGTCATCTTTCTAATGAGTCTATATATTTTTTTAGTCTTTATTTCCTACCTGCAATCTTTTATTCTCTGGAAGTAGATGAATCCCACAATGACGAGGATAACCAGGAATAGAGAAAATTTCACATAGAGAACGATGAGTAAGGTTGATGGTGGAAATCCCAGGACTATGACACCTTTAAATACAGGCAACACAGGCGGGGTAAAGAGTCATTTCAAGATTCCTCTAATGAACAAAATAGGGTCAATTGTTTAAAAGAGACTTCTAAAATATTCTTAAAAGTTCACAGACTGTCATAATCAAAAACATTTTCTAGACTACAATTCAAACGCTGCTAAGATATTCTTTCATGACAGAGTTTAGGAACTGTGTCTATATTTTATATACAGTCGACTTCCAATAAATATTTTCTGAATGAATAAATGTACAGTGAGTATCGTTAGTACTTTGCAATTTTATAAGAAAAAAGGAAATATACTTTCTAATTTCTGTGTAAATGTTAGTCTTTGGGGGTATTAACATTTTGAGCACTATCTGATAATACTTTTCATACGGAGGAGAAATTTTGTCACTGAGTTGCTGGAACCCCTTTATTTAGTAGGATATTTTATGTCTTCCTACTTTCATTTATTTATCTATAAAATGGCCCCCAGAATTATGAATAAATTATAATTATGAATAAATTATAAATAAATGAAAAGATAAAATGAAACTAATTAGGACTATCATTCTGAAGTTTTTCTTCTGTGAAAATGGCAACCAAAGTAAATTATTCTGACTCTTGGCTCCAAAAGTGATGTCATCCTGTTAAATAACCTGCTCATATACTAAACTAGAAGAATGTCAGACAGTCTCCTTCTTTGGCACTTTCAGAGAAGAGGAAGACACAGTCTCAGCCCTCAAAAAGCTCACAATCCAATTAGAGAAGTCCGATCCATACAAATGAAAAGATCACTTATAAGAGGGCAAACAGTGCTAAGTGAGCATTACAGATCATAAATCATCTAAGGAATAAGAAAACTGTATCAACTCCACCTGGGAGGTCAGAGCGAAGTGGAATTTGAACTGAGCCTTGCCAATAACAGGATTAAATAGGTTAAGAAAAGAAGGAAGAACTTGTAAAGGGAAAGAAATAATTTAAAAAAAAACTTGAAGAATTCATTATCTTAATTCAAATGTAATGGAGCAGAGAGCGGGGTACATAGAGATGAAGTCTGGGATGGTCTGAACCTAATTCTGTAGTTATTTGTATGTGTCAGGCACTGTGCCAGACCCTGTGGATACAAAAATGAAGACTATGGTTCCTACTCTCTAGGAGTTTATGATGCACTGGGAATCAGAGAAGCAGACCATCAATTACAGGACTATGAAGTACTCAGAGGCATACATGGGGCATTACATGAGCACAGAGTAGGAACAGCTAACCAAACTGCAGGGCAAAAGAAAATTATCCCAGAGAAACTATATCAAACTAAGTTTTAAAACTTCAATAGAAATTGAATAAATGAAATGAAAGAAGAGAGTATGAGGAAAGAAGTGCATTGTGGAGAAGTAGCAAATGCATGTATGACGTACAATTGAGGGGCCCAAACAGCCCCACATGCATGGGTACAGACTGAAGATTAGCAAGACAGGAGGCTAAGGAGAGTGGCAGATCAAAGGGGTTTAGCTTTCCAAGAGACAAAGAGAGGCCACTGGGGCTAAAATGTTTTTCATTTCAGAAAAATCACTCTGGCAACACTGTAGGTGATAAATTGGAGGGAGGTAAGCTAGGGGTCAAAAGACCTGTTACAAGGATATTGTAATAATTCTGGTGAGGGATGATCATGTGCTCACCCAAGCAAAGGAGAAAAAGAAAAAGGTCTAGATTTAAGAAAAAAATTTTAAGATAAAATCAGCATAACATAGTGACTGATTTTGAATATGGGAAATAAGGAAGAGCGATATTGTAGGATATCTTTAGTTTTCTGGCTTGAGTCATTTATCAAGACAAAATATAAGTATGGAGCTTATGAAGGAGTACAGAAGAGGGATTCCTTTTCAGGAACATGCAAATTGAGGTGCCCTTGATGCACCATTTGAAGACATTCAATTGGAAATTGGTTTTGTTCATATAGCCAAGGAGTGAAATCTGGGCTGAATATATATATTTGACAGTCAAGAATCAGGTGGTAGTTGGAGCCACATGTATGGATGAGATCCTTCAAGGAATAGGGGTAAAGGTGAAAAGAGAATACAGTCAATGATGTAACTCTTAGAAATGCCTTCCTTCATGGAATGAGTAGATGGAAATCAATCTATTAAGAAAATTAAGAAGTTGACTAAAGAACCAAGTAATTATGGGAAGAAAATAGGTGAGAAGAGAGGAAAGGCCATATCAAATATCACAGAGAAGCTAATTAATAACTTAGAGTTAAAATTTTATATTTCGTTTGACATCTGAGAGATCTTTGGCTTTTTGTTAGAACATTTCCTGTGCAGAGAGATTCCAGGAGAGTTAAGGAGTAGATGTGAGGTAATTTAGAAGAGACAGTGAATATAGATGCCTCTTTTAAAAAATCTTGGATATGAGTGAAAGGCAAGAGCTAAGAGTTTGGGGAAGTCATAGCATATACTTTTTTTTTTTAATGTTAATTTATTTTTGAGACAGACACAGAGCATGAACGGGGGAGGGTCAGAGAGAGAGAGGGAGACACAGAATCTGAAGCAGGTTCCAGGCTCTGAGCTGTCAGCACAGAGCCCGATGCGGGGCTCGAACTCACGGACCGTGAGATCATGACCTGAGCCGAAGTCGGACGCTCAACCGACTGAGCCACCCAGGCACCCCCATAGCATCTACTTTTAAACATGAGAGGAAAACAGGAAAGTTCATATAATCAGCCTTAAGGAAAGGATTTGTGGAACAAAAAAGACTGAACAAAAGAGAGCAAGGATAATTACTGAAGCAGAGTCTCTCAGGACTTGGAAGGGAAAAATGAGTATAGAGTATAGGTTAAATATTTGCTCTATGGCAGAGAAAGTCAGACGGGACTGCAGATAATTGCATACACCTAGAGATAAGAAGTATAAAATAACAACCTAGAGTGGGTGGGAGATTGAAAAAGGAAAATAAGGATGCCACAGCATGGCTAGTGCGTGAAAACATTATCCCAAGGGAAAGAAGCCAGTAATAAAAGGCACATATTATATGGTCCTGTTTATGTGAAATGTCCAAAATGGGAAAATCTATAGATATAGAAAGTAGGTTAGTGGTTGCCTAAAGCTGGAGGATTTCTAGAATTAGAGAGTGACAGCCAAAGGATAGAGGTTTCTTTTTGGAGTGAGGAGTATGTTCTAAAATTGACTGTGGTGATGGTTGCATAGTTGAATGCACTAGAGACCGCTGAATGGTACACTTTAAATGGGTCAATTGTATGGTACATAAATTAGGTCTCAATAAAACTATTGCAAAAATAATGAATAAGAGATGTTATGAGGAATAATTAAGAGTATGTGATGGCTTTTAATAGTATAATAATGAATACAATAGCTAATATGTATTGATATAATCAATATAGTGGCTAACACTTACTAATATAAACATAAGAGCTAACATTGTGTTAGTATGGTAAATACATTAGCTAAAATATATTGAGTACCAAATATGTGATAGGCACCAGGTCAGGTAAATATATCATTCTTTTTAATTATCATGATAACTCTGTGAGATGGGTTCTGTCATCCCATCTGCAGATGAAGAAAACATGAGATGTAACTAATTGGTGTGAACATCTTGTAATACATACAAATATCAAATCATTATGCTCTACACCTGAAATTAATTTACTGTTATATGTTAATTATATCTCCATTTTTTCAAAAGCCATGAGACAGAGAAATTAAATATTGTTTCAACTCACACAGCTGGTAAACAAGAAGCCATATTGTGCCAAAGGCTTTTCTTCTAACAACCAGGTTATACTTTCTAGAATAATATGAAGACATGGACCTTGTCTTTTCATCTTTATATGACAGCTTCAAACACATAAGAACATTCAATAAATATTTGGCAAATGAATTGATGTATAGGTTTCAGATGACAAGGAAGAGGAGGAAGGAAATCTTCTCTCTTACTCAGAGTAACAAAAAGTGGTGATTACAAGAAATAAAAAGAAGGAAGGGATAATTATTGTTCTTATATATCTACTAAGTAAGTATTCTTAAATTATATAAAAGTTTTGCTATTTTATGTGAATATTAATCGCAAAGTACAAGTGAACAGATACTAAGTTAAAAAAATTTTATGGATTCCAGAATGAAAGATATTTAGAGATTGTATTGATAAGAAATTACTTAATTTATTCCTTCTATTTGACACAGAAATGGGAACTATTTCCCTAGCATACTAACACATTATCCAGTTACATTTTAGAGAATATCTTCAAATTAGGAACACAAGCTTTCTTACTTTCTTCTTGGTGACTCATAATCAATAGAGGAAAATGCTGAGCAACAAGTTCATTACTCTAAATAAAATAGGTGATTACCTTGATTCAATTCTATGGACAGACTCCTGTTGCCAGTCAGATGGGACAGAGAGCAGGACACCTTAGACACCCGGTGGTCCTCCCAGCGGCACGAACTCTGGACGGTCACTGTGTCATTGCCCAGTGGCTCTTCCACAGTGTGACAATCTCCCCCTGGGGTCCAGGAGATCTGCGCCGCTGGCTTCCCTGCAGCTGCCCTACACACGATAGTTCCATTCTCAAGTTGAAACAGCGTCACCTCGGGGGGCACTGCAGAGATGCAGGGGAAAATGCTTCAGTCTTAACACACGGATATGGAATAGAGAGTGACATCTGTTTCAGTCCAAATCTGGTCATCTGACATCCCACAATATACGATGCTCCTTACCTAACACTGTCAGGTGATATCCATGATAGAAATGCCCATGAGTTGTGACCACTTCACACCTGTAATATCCATCATGAGTGATGGCCACTGGATCGATCTGAAGGGCAGGATTCCGATCAGGTCTGGAGTCCCAGGATATTGTCTCGTCACTACAGTTTATGGCCCTGGTCTCATTTGTATCTCTCCTGTAGGCTCTGGTGCAGGAAGGCTTGTCTCTGAGGATTATTTCCCATCTTATTGTTACCAGCACAGCTTTCTGGGTGATCGGAGGGCAAGAGAGCACAGCCTTTGTATCCACAGGTTTAGACAGGGAAGTGTTAGCTGAACACACACACAAAGTGAATGATGAAAGAAAAGGTTGATAAAGAAATCCATGTTAAATTTTCTACAACATATTCCATAAAGTATACTAGAACATGATTTTGCTACGCACAAAATGTATATAACATATTAAAAGTATTCCAAAGATAAGCCCATTTTCTTCTATATTGTGTGTTTTTAGATAATCTATATTTATTATATGTGTTAGAAATATTTTAAGGCCTGGGGCCCCTGGTGGCTCAGTCAGCTGAGTGACTCTATTTCAGATCAGGTCAAGAGCTCACAGTTTGTGAGTTTGCACCCCACATCAGGCTCTGCACTCACAGCACAGAGCCTGTTTGGGATTCTCTCTCCCTCTCTCTCTGCCCCTTCCCTGGTCTCTCTCTCTACAAATAAATAAACGTAAAAAAAATTAAAGAAATTTTTAAGGGCTTAAATTTGATTCAGAAGTTTTGATATGTATGAAACAAACAAAAAAACACAATATAGAATTAATGGACAAAATCATTATATCTAATATTTCGGCCATAGAGACTATTAGATTTCTCTAATAACTCAAGCTTCTCAGGATAAAAAGTGGAAAAGTTGAGACAGGAGAAAAATTTTCTCTCCTACATTTCAGTGCGAGACAATAAATCACTTAATGTCAGAATGAAATGCCTATCTCCAAAGGTGGGAATTCAGACAAACATAAATATAAGAAGCATGTGGTACTTTCATTATAAATAGCATGGTATTCCGGTTGACCAAGCTGCACAGTTTTTGAGTTGTTTTTATTTGGAGAATCACACAGTCATAAAATCAACAAGATCTTCCATCCTTCCTTCCCTTTGAATCACATGTATCCTGCCAAACAGTTCGCCTGTGAACTTAGCTCACAGATTGTGTCTGACTTTCTACCTAATTACGAGGAATAAATGGAGAAGTTCACTCCTTCTGTCCATCTTTTGAAGTAAAAATTAAGCCCTGCAACCTACAAGTATTCTGCAATATATAAGCTCTGGCTCTCCCAAAAACTGACATAATGTGTCCATGGCTGGGAGGGGTTTGCTGAGAGCAGATTGGGGGCATCCCTTGGGACGCACCAGTGACGCAGGTGAGTGGCAGGGAGCTCATCACTCTCACATGAGCAAAACCAGCTGTGAGAGGGCAAAGCTATCCAGATGGCGCTTGTGAGTGCTAACCCCTGCAGTTGAAATCTCTCCTCTCCTCTTCTGGTGTCACTTACTTCTTGCGTGATGGACTCATGCCCTTGCATTTCACAAACAAATCACAATCCCATAACTATGTGAAGCAAGGGGGAGGATTTGAAAGCAGGTCTAAGAGAGCAGTTAAATCCATGACTTAAGTGGCAACCCGCAAGCACAGGGAAAATGCACCTTCGCCAAGGTTATAAACAAGCACGAAGGTGGCTGCTTGGAGAGCAGCTAGAGGTGGGTGTGGGTGAACATTCAGGTGCTCAAAGGCAGGATGCTGAAGATGAAATCAGAAAGGGAAAAGGCTGAAGAACATGTTGTGAATTTTCTTTTGTGTTCTCAGGGGTTTGCACTTCTGCTTGTGAACAGTCTAAGGTTTTAATATTTTGCCTGCTATTGAGCCTCAAGATCTCACTCTATTCTTTTAAAGGAAATTATTAGCTAATTAAATAATCATATGCGTTTTAACAGGGGTGCCATCTCCAGAGAAGTGGCTCCCAGGGTGAGGATCCCAAGCACCATGGACAATCTCTGTTCTTTCAACTTCCTCTGCTCTAGGACCCTCCAGCAATCCCCCTTCACCTGTGATGGGACTTCTGTGATTCCTGTTAGTCACACTTTCTTTGTCCTCCTCTTTCTCTATTCACACCTGTTGCGATAATTTATCAGTGACCAGTCATTCCTCCACACTCAGTGGGGTTGGCACCTGTCTAACAAATATAATCTCCTCACAGCCCTGTGATAAGCTACCATGATTTCACCTCCTACGTCATGGGATAGTGGGTGGATTCTCCTATTGGCTCCAAAACCAGCAGTCACCTTCCAGCTTCTCTGCATCCTGTGTCTATGA